ATTCGTAGCCAATCAGCAGTAAGGGGCGTGTCCACTCATGACGGGGGAGGTGCCTGTGTTGCACAGTGTTTGTGAATTTGGGGGCGGAGCTATTAAACTAGGGGTGTGATCCTTTAGGTAGGGGCGTGTTTGTTTTGGTGGTTTCAAATATTAACAGCGTTTCTCAGAAATCAGGTACTGCACCTTTAACTGTTTAACCTGTTTAATGCTGTGGTGCTGCTTCGAATCAGTCTCTTCTGTATAAAGCGCTATCAAAATAAACATTACTTGACTTAAGTAAAACTAAAACCATAAAAAACTTGAATTAAATAAAACATGAACATGAAAACATGAAATAAAATATTTTTTAAAAAGTATTTTATTTAAGCTTCAAACTGGAATAAAAATGAATAAAAACTATGTCAACATGTATAAAAAATACTAAACAAAATTACCAAAATGTTAACTACAAAATTACAATGAAAACAGAAAATCTAGAAATAAAGCTAATTCAAAATATTAATAAAAACTAAAAGTATCTCAAAAAGTTTGAGGTTGGTAGGGTTTTTTGTTTGTTTTTTTGTTTTAATTTAAGAAATAAATACATTCATCAAGATGCATTAAATTGATCAGAAGTGACAGTAAAAGACATTCATAATGTTACAGTAGATTTCTATTTCTAATAAATGCTGCTCTTTTGAACTTTCTGTTCATCTGTGAATCCTGAAAAATAAAATGCATCAGTTTCCACAAAAATATTAATGTTTTCAACATTGATAATAATCAGAAATGTTTCTGGCTCTGCTTTACGGCTCAGTGTCTAGAGAGTCAATCTGAGAGCGGATGATTTCCATATCTCTGGAGAGAGGAGGACACACCTGTGCTTTAACTGCTGCTCCGCTGGTTTGCATGGCAGGTAGAGAGAATCTGGTCTCCTCATTTAACTGGACCTGCCATGCAAATGGTCCTCTGGCGGCGCGGGGCTGAAGGGCACAGCATTCACAGCCGCACTGCTAGGAAAATGTTGCTTTTATTTCACGTTCCAGTTGATTGTGTGTCAGGTTTATGTCACCTAAACTGGGACAAAGGCAATTCAAATCTCCTGCTGTACTGTTGACTATCTGTTAACCTCCCGGTCGAAGGCTTGAATGGCTTGCTCTATAGTCCTAACAGGTGTGCTTTTCTTCTTCAGCTTCGCCATCAGTTATCTGTCAGTCTAACTGCAACCCGTGCTTTAATGCATCCAGCGTTTGTGACAAAAACAGCTGCTGGATAGAGACGGGACCACGTTTATGACAGGGTTATACTAACATGGACATGAACTAAAATATCAAAATTTCTCATTTTCATTTACTTTAACCTGATGCGCTAAAATGACTGCAACTGAAACTGAAATGAAGTTAATAAATACTATATAGACATTTAAAAACTAACTGAAATTAGTTTAAGTTGAAGCATTAAACTGGAAAATAAAAGCTGAGATAAAAAATTGTACACAAAAACTAACTGAAAATATTAGGCTACTAAAATCTGAAAATATTGCTGAAATAAATGTTACTCTGAAATCAGTTTCGTTTTATTAATAATATTATATAAATCGTTTTATTTCAGCTATTTACCAAGGAAACATTTCTTATTTTCATCTAGTTTAAATTGATGTACTAAAATTAAAACTGAAATAAAAATGAATAAAAACTATATAGACATTTAAAAACCAAGTTGAATTACTAAAATTAATAACTGGATATATGTTAAAACTAAACTGAAGTAAAAAAATATTATTATAATAAAACAAATAGTATTAAATAATAATTATTATCATTTATTTATTTACATTTATTTAATCTGGCAACATTTCTCATTTTCGTTTAGTTTAACTTGATGAACTAAAATGACTAAAAAAAATAGAAAATATATAGACATCTTAAAAAACTAACCGAAAGTTTAAGTTGAAGCACTAAAATTACTAACTGAAAAAAAACTAAAATAGTAATATTAAAAATAAATCACTAACATTAAAATGAAAATGGAAAAAATAAAAATAAAATATTTAAATGCAATATTTAAAATAAAAACAATAGTGTGATACAACAATAAGACTGCATTGCAGCGGGTTGTGAACAGCAAATAAAGCCTTGTTGTCATTATGCAAACTGGAGAGAAGTGTGATTTATGCAGAAGGCTGATGTAATGAACTCAGAGAATCTGTATGACTAGCACAAATATATAATGCAGTAAGTTCATCTGCTCATGCATCAGTGTTTTCATGATGTTTGATGTTCAGCTGCTGAAGGACACACAGGTACACTGGAGGAAAACAAAACTAGAGGTATTTCGTATTGCTTGGCGGGAAAGTAACCTATCCTACAGAAAAGCATTAATTTCTAACTCACATCAGCGACTCTCTTCAAAACTCGAGTGCAGCTGTTTAGTGTTTTCACGATAACTCGAGAGACTGATGATCTCTTCAGAACAGCATCGTTCAGTTCATCATCATCATCATCATCAGAATCAGAATCAGAATCAGAATCATGAGGAGTCTGTGTTCAGTCCCATCAGTACCGAAAAATCTAACTTATAACACTTATCCTGATGGGGCAGAAATATAAACATGTATTTTAGTGAGCTCGTGTGGATTGACTTTCTAATCTGTGAGGTCATCTGAAAAATGTCTGACACACTTTGACTTTCATCTGCTTCCTGCTTCATTCTGCACCAATGAGGAAGTGAAGCAGCAAACTCACCCTCAGTGAACTAGTTAACTCTGCCTTTCCTGCTAGTTTACCATTCGATTGTGTGAATGATGATTCTGAACACTCACGCGCACACAAACACACACGCACACACAAACACTCACACACACGCACACACCGATCTCCATCAGTAATGAGGTGAGTCAAAACTACAATTCCACTCGAATTCTGTTCCAGAAACTCCCTGTGAGTTTTATTAACTAATCACACTGTAATATACCTGATGACTGATGTGTACAGTGTAAATGTGAGCTGTTATTGAGTCGCTTCAGCATCTGAACTGTATTTCTGAACGACAGAAGAAACCTGACGCGTTTGAGATGTTTCTAACTCACATCAGCGACTCTCTTCAAAACTCGAGTGCAGCTGTTTAGTGTTTTCACGATAACTCGAGAGACTGATGATCTCTTCAGAACAGCATGGTTCAGTTCATCATCATCATCATCATCAGAATCAGAATCAGAATCATGAGGAGTCTGTGTTCAGTCCCATCAGTACCGAAAAATCTAACTTATAACACTTATCCTGATGGGGCAGAAATATAAACATGTATTTTAGTGAGCTCGTGTGGATTGACTTTCTAATCTGTGAGGTCATCTGAAAAAT